TAAACGACACTCAGAACGATACAGACAGGCTCTGGGTAGGTACTGGTTGCTATGACTCTACAAGGACATGTAAGCAGGCCACATGATGCAGGACTCCATCTTGCGATGCCAGTATTTTTCCACAAACTGGTCTAGGAACCAGACTTTTAAACAAAAGGTTTCTGCCATATGCAAAAGCTTGGAATGACACTATTTGAGGTTCTTCACTCCCCACCCAAGAAGACTCCTGGAAACACCTGAAGAACAAAGAGCAAACGGGAAGTGCTGAACCCAGGCTAAAGGGATTTCTAGCCTGTGAATGAAGACAAAAGAAACCCATGCTGTAAAGCTAATGCATCTTGCACCTTAAGAATCTGCAGCATGCTTGCACTATTAATTAGGGTGAGAATCTGGTAGTCCAGGTCCAATCTATCTAGCATATTAAGATGAATTTGCATTTTTGTTTATTTGCTAGGTAATCTGCTTAGATCTGTTTGCTATCTATCTATGTATTTTAGAAATGTGCATCTGTCCGTTGGTGTGTGAGTTTGTTCAAGAACTCCTCCTAAATGGTAAGAGCTAGGATCACTAAATTTGGTATGCAGCTTCCTTTTATCCTAACTTAAAGCAAAGCCAGGGTTTGACTGTGCCAAGAAAATGGGACAAGCCAGTGGCTGGGTAGAGAGAGAGAAAAAGCCCCACCTGATGGGACCCTCTCTCTTCACCTCACAACCTTCGCTCTCACACCCCCTCACACTCTCAGCCTCCTGTCCTTCCACCCCCATCCCCAAGGCCCTGTCCTGACTCCTGCACCCCCCACACTGCCAGTCCCATGCCCTGAAGGACTCCGGCAATGCCAGGTAACTCTTCAAGTATCTTATAAATCACTTAAAATCTAGCTTTTGTAGATAATTAACTTTTGTCTTAATCTATAGCAGTGAGCTTTACTGGAGTGCTTGGCAAAAATCTCTGCTTAGTTACTCACAAGTGTGCACTGTTCACTTCATACTGATAGAGAAATGGACGAGCTATTAAACCCGTACACTGACTAGATTTGACTAGGACAGGATGGTACTGCTCTGGGGTCCTAGGCTAAGAGACTGCACTAACTACAGCTGGGCATGTCCCTGCCTATGCAAATGTTACTGAAGGATTTTGCAGCTTGAAAGAGAAACCAGGCTGCTGAGCCAGGGGGCTTAGTGGTACTCCAGTTCAAGATTATTCTAATGAGTTTTCTAAGTATTAGTGTATCAGGTTGAAAATGCTACCTTACACACAATACATACATACAGGAAATAAAAATGTTTTCTTGTTCTGGGGAAAAAAACCCAAAATAACCAAAACATGGCTGCCAGCAAATAGGAGCAACTGAAAACATTCATTTCTCAGCAAGGATTAATTAGCAGTATGAAGTTACTACATATTTCATTGACCTGATCTCTGATGAAATCAGGAGCTATAAAAATGAGCCAGAGGTAATCACAACAACACATAATTTAAAAAACAAAAACAACTTCTTGCAATACAAATTCTGACAGCGTGAATAAATTACAGTCTGGTCTCATTTGATTAACAGCACATCAGATGGACTGTTCAGTTGGAGTTTTTAGATCTACAGGTTAGATCAGGTGTTTTTCTTTTAAACCTTCAATAATAAGCTGAAGCAAATGTGATCTCACTCCATGTTTAAACAGAAAGCCTGCTTCAGTCTAAGACCTTGCCTTCACTGGCATGTTTAGTTGCCAAAACCTGTCTTTTGGAGATAAAACAAAGAGAGCGTTTACTCTGCAATGTGAATTTTGTTTGGTGTTTTTCCAAAAATCTCCCACCCCTGCGAGAGACTTTGTCTTTTTCCCTCCCTTTATTGTCCACAAAAAGCCAGTGTGGACTCTGCGGTTCGTTATGCTGAGAGTAACCCAGCATGACTGTCCTGATGTTTGTGCTCAGTGTTTTGTGATCTCTGGTGCCCTATAGGCATGCACCCCTCACCTTTCAAAGCTCCAGGAAGTATCTGACATACTAGTGAGCTGCTCTGTCTGGGGAAAAAACAAAGAGCAAGTCATTGGAATGTTCCTTCCTATTCTTACCTGCTGTTAAAATGTGCTTTCCCTTGTAAATGTGTAACTGCTGAAATTTGTAGCAGTTACACTTTACATATGGGGCAAAAGGGGAGCTGGCTCTGCAGGGTTCAGCCTCGAAGCAGCTTAAAAGCCAGCTTCCTGCACATACGGGATACCGCTTGTCCCCCCATAAGCTGCTGCCTCTATATCAGAGGCAGAGGAGTGAGGTTGAGGGTGGGGGGGCAGGTAGCTCCCCAGGAGCCAGTGCTTGCAGGGAGCCTACTTAAAAGCTAGCTCCCCATGAGCATCAGCTCCTGCCTGCTCCACCCCACTGCCTCTGATAAAGAGGCAGCGGGGGAAGGGCCTCTTGTGTGTAACCATGAAGATTAACCAATGAGCCCAGGCTCATCTGGCAACTGTTTAAGTATTTACACTGTAACATCCCTACGAGGAGCACAGTGGCAGGCAGACTGCTGCTGCAGGGTGAGCGCTGGAGAGACTGCTGTGCTGCTTTGACATTCCTCAGCACGGAGAGCTCACAGAGCAGCTCTACCTTCCCACAGCACTGCACTGCGGGATGCTCACCCACGTTGCTTTGCTGTCAGTCAACAGGGTGCAAGCAATGTGGCCATGAAATGTCAACAGTGGGAGTCAGAGAAACTGGTTTGACAGGTTTTCACTTTTGACAACTTTTGCACATCAACAGCACTTTGTCACCAAACCTTCCCAAAGCAAACAGCCTAAATGGTAACTGGCCCTATGGAGAGCAGAGAGGATACAAGAAGCTTCTCCTCTTCCTCTTCTCACACCCAGGTCAGGAACCAATCACAGTGTGGTGAGGATGCAGAACCACTGCTCTGCGCTTATGCTACCTGCAGTGCTAGCCTCCACAGAAATGACTACACAGGCTGGAATAAGGATGGGGCCCCTGGCCTTCTACCCCCCACTGAATCAATCAGGAGACATGGCCAGGCACTAAAGATGTTAAGAACTAGTCAACTAATTGATTTCCCTCCCTTTGTTGCCTCTATGAGATAGGTAAGCCTAGCTTCTACTACATTTAAACTGCAGAGCCACAGTGAGGGGAGGTCTCAGACCTGGCGCGAGCCAGGAGTGAGCAGTCCCAGCTCATGCCAAGTCCCAGACTGCTGAGCCTCTGCCTTTTAAATGTAGTAAATGTAGTCTTAGTACGTTTAAAAGGCAGAGCTGCAGCAGGAGTAGGTCCAGGCAGCTCTTGCTACATTTAAGAGGCGGAGGTGCAGCAGTCCAGGACCCGATGTGAGCTGGGGCTGCTCAGTCCTGGCTTGTGCCGGGTCCCAGACTACTGCATCTCTGCCTCCTCTGCTCCAACCCCACTGCACCAGGGGGAGACCGGCTTCTAAGCAGGCTCCCCACAGCACCAACCCTTGCTTCCCACCCCTTGCTGTCTCTGATACAGAGGCAGCGGGGGAGGGGGCTGGGAGGGGGGAAGAGGTAAGCAAGTAGTAATAGGCTTATCGTGTAGTCAGCTACTCAACTAGTTGCTTACATCCCTAACTGATATACCCTGACAGTATGGCCTCCCCCATTAGGAAGGCCAAATTTACTAGCACAAAGACGGACCAAATTAAATCTTATCAAAGGCTACAGCTTTCAAACACTAGTCAGCGTTACAGTTTTGCACCATCACTCCCACCTGTCTTATAGGGGGCTCCCCCATAGCACCCTCTAATGCATGGCTCCTGGACTTTAGGTGTCAGCTGCAGAAAACCACCTAAGATAGTAGCTTGGTACAGCACTGAGAAAGGCAAGTACTGTTCCAGTGACTGTGAAGAAAACTAGTTTAATGGATTTTGTATGTGCATCTCCCTTGTAGTAAATGGAAAATGTAGCCTTAGGTGTTTACATTTGATTTGGGAGGCCAGTTTTAATCTTCTTACATTGGGAGGGAAAACTCAATTATAGAATGTACTTACAATCCAACAATCCAAGTCAAACACAAAGGGAAAAAAATGCTTTAACTCCTTCAT